TTAACTTTTAATTATGAAAAATTTCAAACATACACAAAGTAGGGAAAGTAGTATAATGAATCCCTGTGTCTCCATCAACCATCTTCAACAATTATCAACTTTCTGCCTTTCTGGTTTCTTCTAGCCAACCCCCAGCTCCATTTTGGGAGAAATTTAATGCTGATCTCAGATATCACATTATTTCAACCATAAATATTTCATAATATATCTCTAACAGAGAAAGATATATATGTCATAGTCACAATATCACAATATCACAATGGCATAATAATTCCTTAATTTTATCTAACACTCAGTTTGTGTTCTGTTTTCCCCAATTATTGCAAAAAAACCTCATTACAATTGATTTGTTGAAATCAGAATCCAAAGAAGGTCCATACGTGCACTTGGTTGATATTTGACTCTTGAGTCTCTCTCTCTCTTTTTTAACCAGCCTCTCCCCAGGCAACCAGTTTCCTACTCTCTGTTTCTATGTATATATGTCACATCTTCTTTATCCATTCTTCTGTTGATGGACACTAATGGTTGTTTCCATATCCTGGCTATTGTGAATAATGCTGCAATGAACATGGAATGCAGATAACTCTTCGATATTCTGCTTTTATTTCCTTTGTATATCTACCTAAAAGTGGGATTCCTGAATTATGTGGTAGTTCTATTTTTAATTATTTGAGGAACCTCCATATTGTTTTCCATAGTGGCTGCACCAGTTTACATTCCCATCAACAGTGTACAAGGATTCCCTTTTCTCCACATCCTCGCCAACACTTGTTATATCTTGTCTTTTGATAATAGCCATTCTAACAGGCGTGAAGTGATATCTCACTGTGCTTTTGATTTGCATTTCCCTGATGATTAGTGATGTTGAGCATCTTTTCATGTACCTGTTGGCCATCTGTATGTCTTCTTTGGAAAAATGTATTCGGTTTCTCTGCTCATTTTTAGTTGGACTGGCTCTTTTTTTGCAATTGAGTTGTATGAGTTCTTTATATATTTTGGATATTAACTGCTTATCAGATATATGATTTGCAAATATTTTCTCCCATTCAGTAGGTTGCCTTTTCATTTTGTTGATGGTTTCCTTTGCTGTGCAGAAGCTTTTTAGGTTGATGTAGTCCCACTTGTTTATTTTTGCGTTTATTGCCTTTGCTTTTGGAGCCGGATCCAAAAAATCATCGCCAAGACCGATATCAAGGAGCTCACCCCCTGTGTTTTCTTCTGATTGAGTCTCATTGAATACCACAGTTGTGCCTCCTTTCCCCGCTTATTTACTGTTGAAGCACCAGGTCATTAGAATTTCCCACATTCTGGACTTGGCTGAATGTATCCTCATGATGTCCTTTAGAATGTTCCTCTAGCTTCCATATTCACTCTAACTTGTAGACAGATGCAGAGACTTTATTATATTCAGGTTCCTTCATTTTTTTCAAGAATTCATTGTAGGTAGTGTGTGTGTATCACATCAGGGCACAATTGTCCGGTGTTCCACTTCGATGTTAGATTGATCAGTGGGTTCAGGTCTTGTTAGCCTGATCCGTCCATTGTAAAGTTCCCTATAAAGGTAACTTTTTGGGTATTTTTTTAATTATAAAAATTTTCAAACATTTAGCAAAGTTGAAAGAATTTCACAAGGAGTACCCATCTGCCGACCATCTAGGCTTTACCTCTCATCATTTACCTTTTTAGTCAGTGATTCCAAAAGATGTTGATGATGCTGATTTCATTAAGGTTTGCAAAATTATGTTTTTCTAATGTTATTCTTTCTGCAGTCTTCTATAAATAACAGTTTTCCTTCATCAGCTCTTTGGTTATCCTAAAATACACTACATCACAGGAAAGGCAAAGTAGAAGCTTAATTCTTTCTTTTTCTCTATATCAATTTTCAAAAAAATGAGGTCACACCCCACCAACCTCTAAAAGAAACCAGGGGCCAGCCGGGTGGTGTAGTGGTTAGGTTTGAGCACTCCTCTTCAGTGCCCCAGAGTTTGTGGGTTTGGATCCTGGGCGTGGACCTATGCACTGCTTATCAAGCCATGCTGTGGCAGGCATCCCACATATAAAGTGGAGGAAGATGGGCACGGACATTAACCCAGGGCCAATCTTCCTCAGCAAAAAGAGGAGGATTGGCAACAGATGTTAGCTCAGGGCTAATCTTACTCATCAAAAAAAATAAAAGAAAAATAAAAAAATAGAAGAAATCAATGAATTTCTTATTAATTTCTTCTGAGCTGCATTATGAGTTTATGAATTTTTATATATTTGATGTGTTTCAATCATTATTCGTTTTTGATGCTCAGATTGTCCCTTCTTTAGCCTGTGGGAGCCCTTCCGAGTAGGTTCCTGTGTCTTTTGACACAGTCCCAGCAGTCTTTCACAGCTTCTTTGCTTTCTGGTGTGACAAGATGTCCGAAGGGTATTTTATACATACCCTGTCCTAGACCAACCATTTCTCTAAGGAGCCCTGGTTCGTTTTAGTTGGACATAATAATCCTAATTTACTAAGGCCTGTGAGGTGAGAAATACTACTGAAATATCATTGCTTTTAGGCCTTTTAGTGAATAGAGCTAAGAAATTAATTTTTTGTGTGTGCGTGAGGAAGATTAGCCCTGAGCTAACACCTGTTGCCAATCCTCCTCTTTTTTTGCTGAGGAAGACTGGCCCTGGGCTAACATCTGTGCCCATCTTCCTTATATGGGATGCCGCCACAGCATGGCTCAATGAGCAGTGCGTGGGTCCGCGCCTGGGATCAGAACCTGCAAACCCCGGGCTCCCAGAGGCAGAGTGCAAGAACTTAACCACTACACCACGGCCCCGGAAATTAATTTTTTTAGAAATAAAAGTAAGGGCCGGCCCCGTGGCTTAGTGGTTAAGTGTGTGCGCTCCACTACTGGCGGCCTGGGTTCGGATCCCGGGCGTGCACTGACGCACAGCTTCTCCGGCCATGCTGAGGCCACGTCCCACATACAGCAACTAGAAGGATGTGCAGCTATGACATACAACTATCTACTGGGGCTTTGGGGAGAAAAAGG